CCCCGCGGCGGGCAGGCCGGCCGCTCCCCCCGGGCACCCAGGAGGTTCGGCCGCCCTTCGCGGGACCGGCCCGAAATGGTTAAAAAGACCTGCTGGCGCTCAGCTGCGGGGCTTCCACAAGTGGTTGCCCACGCGGGATGTAGAAGAAGCGACAGAAATCCTTTTAGGATCGATTTTTGTTTTGTTAGCGCCAGCAAAAAAAAACCCCCCCCCAACCAAAAGCAACGAACGCGGAGATACTTAGGGGAAAAAGAGAAAAGGCATTTGAACTGGCATTAGTTTTTCTGTGATTTATGAAAAATGTAACAGGTTCGGAAAAAATAGCTTTTAAAAAATGATTTTCTGTTTATTATTTCCACGACTTGCGATCATTTACTCTTGTACACACAATCTTCTAGCATAGTCAGGCTAGGTGGGATAAATCGTCACGTCATAAAATGGTTTATGCTTAAGTAATGAATCCCTTCTTACTCAATCTCGCTTCACATACACAGGCTCCTACATCATCTTATTTAAAAATCACCTCGTAACAGTAGCAATTAGCACTATATTTCAAAATTCCGAAATCTTAAAAAAACACACACACATTCAAAATGACGGGCGTCTCTAGACAAATATTTTCTTAAAACCGAAGGCAAGCGTTAGGTGATCAGATATGCAAAGGCAAGGCAACTGGAGGGCTATTTCCACATAACCTGGTCGCAGGCTGTGGAAAGGACCAACAAAACGCGGCTCTGAAACACTAGACGCTATTCCGGGCTGAAAAGCCGTAAAGCCCCGTTAACACCACAGAACGCAATTAAATACAAGGAGGTTTATTGCATCGCAACGTCAGCTTCATTTGGGAGTTTCACGAGGGAAAAAAATACAATGAGAGCTCTGCGCTCTGGGTTGGCTTCATTCTTATTATCTTTTTTTCTCTTTTCTTTTTTTCCCCCCTTTTTTCTCCCCTAATTTCCAGAACCTTATTCTCGAGGACTGCCGCGAACTGCCCTCTTTGAAGAAACCACCCACGTAATAACGACCCTGGAGAGCAACGCAAAACCCAGCCGGCTGCCGCGCCAACTTCGCCAAATTACTGGGCTCGCCCGAAGACAGGCAAACTGGCAAGAGATTCTGCGAGGGGAAAAAATAAAACACGACAACTACCCACAAAGGGCTTGGTATTTTTTTAAAGCCAGTATCTAAAAGCCTCCACCACCGAGCTACTGCAAAATCCTTCATTCCAAGTCTACTATCTCCAGGTGACCTTACAGGCTTTATACTTATTTTTTATTCAGTTGTTATTTTCTTTCTTTCCTTTTCATCCTTTTCTTTCTTTCTTTCTTTCTTTTTTCTTTCTCTTTCTTTCTCTTTCTTTCCTTCTTTCTTTCTTTCTTTTTCTTTTATTTTCTTCCTTTTGCTTCCCTTTCCTCTTCTCCCTTTCCTTTTCTCCCTTTCTTTTCTATCTCCATTTGTCTCTTTCTCATCCTATACTACACTTTTGGGGGAAGATTTCACTTAAGCAGATTTTAGCTTCCCCGACACCCCTGATTTCTCGTAGTATCTGCTTTCCTTATGACCTCCCCGTTTTCTTTCTATTTTTTTCCCTGGGTAGGAAGGGAGAGGGAGATGGCGAATGAAACAGAAAAGGCAGTTTGACAAATGCATTTTCGCAATTAAAATTAAATTAAGAGAAACAGATATTATTCCCTTACCTTTTGACGTCCATTTCTGTGGTATATGTAAAATATATAGGGAGAGATAGACAGCGTTTGCTTATCTGTTAGCTGACAAATATTGTCCCAACCTGATAGCCGTCGATTGCCTCTCTGACTTGTGATAGCTTCTTGCATTTCTGTCATTTGCATAGAAAATGGAGTAACTTCCCTCTTTGAAAAATGATAGCCTCCACTCGGTCCAGAATCTCCACTTCCCTTCCATTACTACTGAGATTCCAAATCAGCAGGCAAATTAACCCAGGAATTTAAAAAAAAAATCATATAACTCTTTTTGTATATGAGTGTGTGTATATGTATGTGTGTGTGCGTGTGTATAGGCTTCCCCCCCCTCCCCTCTCCCCTATTTTAGCCCTATCGAGCTTATACACAAAAGTAAAAAAATGTAAAGAGGCGAGAGCCCTATAGAGGACACTGATCCGACCCAAGGTGCAGCGGACAGAAGAATGGTGCAATATAACCACATGGGAAATAATAAAAAGTTCATGTTCACGGTTAGCAGTCCACATGACCGGCTCTGGCCAATCCCAGAACCCAGCCACTCATAAAGTTCTATCACAAAGTTGTAAATTTTCATAAAACAACAAGGAATTTATTGCATTTCTTCATGACCGGTTTAACAGCAGTCTTTTTCTTAGCCGCCATCTTTTTTTTTAACAAAAATAAAAGAATATGAAAGGGGTTTCAAGGATTTTTCTCCCCTTGGTTGTGTGTGGGGGAGTGTTTGATAGAAATAATCGAATAATATCTTGCATATTAAGCTATGAACAATAATAACCCCCCCTCCTCCGCCACCCGGAATAAAGGTATTGAGGTTGGCGCTGACTTTTATATGGGTAAAGATACGGTAAAACAGTGGGGTTCGGGTGGGGTTTTGATGTCTTTTTTTTTTTTTTTTACG